CTCCAACCAGTAGTCAGAGGGCAGCTCCCTAGAGAGGACAGGAAGTCCATCAAGGCTGTGAGGAGATCTGCCCCAGAATGCTGCAGGAGGGAGAGTCACTTCCTGGGCGGGAAGGGCTGTTTGATATAGTGGAGCTTTTGGGCGGGAAACCGGTCTTGGAGAATTGAGAGCAGTCTGCCTGAAGTCTGGAGCCAGTCAGGCTGTCGGCTGGAGACTGCAAGAGGCAGAGGCCATGTTGGGAGTCCTCTAATGAAAGCAAGTCATGTGCCTGCCCTGCAGACCATCTAGACAGGGTATGTGTAGTGAAGGGAGAGATGGAGCGATTTATTATCCACCTTTATTTTAATTCTTCAGTTCACTGTTAATATGCCTGTATATAGTTGAGTGATTTTAAAATAAACTCTTTCACTGTTGACCCTGAGAAGTCCCTCTGTACCACATAGTTCCCCCAGCCGCTTGGACACGCTAAGAGTGGGTTGGGGACTCCCTAAGGAGGAGAATAAGGGCAAAACGGTCAGTTGCCAACTCTCCAGGGGAGCCCCGAAGATTATCAGGAAGCCCCGAGGTGGGTTCCTGGCGACATCAGAGGGAGGTTAGGAGGCTGTCCCGCCTAACCAGAGCCCAAGACAGGGACAGTGGTGGCAGCAATACCCGGAGGCAGTGGTGAAAAACTGCCCCTTCAGGTGCCAGGTCAGGCAAAGGAGGGGTGGGCAGAGCGGGGTCTGCCAGTGGACACGGGCCCGTTCCGCCACACCATATAAACAGAAACCAACCATGAACATATATTCAGATACTAACTTTGGTTCATTTGTGGCTACTGCTTAAATGCATGATGGGAGAAACATGCCACTCTTCTGCTAAGGCTTGTGGCCTTGGCTGCCCGGCTGCAGTTGCACATGTCTCTGATATCCGTCAGCCTAGCTAAATGGAGAACAATAACACCCTGTAACTATATCAGAGATATAAAGATACTTTCATAGCAACATAAGTGTAATGTATTCAAATAGCTGCCATTGAATGCATAACTGCATGTGAACTACATAATTGACTTGCCATGTAAAGCTTCGTCCTGGGCTAGGATCCAAATCCATCCAATCGCATTGCTAGCCCAGGAAGAACCAACCAATCACTTGTCAGCAAGCTCCCTGAGCGGGAACATCCGTGATTGGTCCTTATGTATGCAACCTTATTGGTTGGTATTTGTACAGTAGGCGTGGCTACATTAGCCAGGAGAGTTTAAAAGCAGAACAGCTGCAATGTAAAAGCTGTTCTGGCTATCAGATGTTGATCCGTGTTGGAGTTGTGTTCGAGTTGATGAATAAAGCTGAATCTTTGCTGAATCACTCTCCGACTACTATGTTAAGCGAGCGACTTAACAATAAGAACATAAGAGACACCAATGTTGGATCAGGCCAAAGGCCCATCCAGTCCAACACTCTGTCACACAGTGGCCAAAAATACCAGCTTCAAAAGCGGGTGTTCCTAAAGCAACAACAGAAAGCGGAAGAGGGACTTGAGAAAGTGGAGGAAAATAAAGACGCAGAAGAAGAAGAAGAGAAGGATGGGACTTTGATACCATCTCGATTAGTCTGGCTGAACCATTTGATTTGGAAGCAGAATTAGGGGTTGCCACCCCTAAAGCATTTAAAAACTAATTTGGACTTTGACAGGAGGAGAGGAAAATGCAAAATAGTTTAATGTTGATAGCCTGATGTTTATTCTTAACGCATAACTTTAAACCAATGATATTTACACAATAGCCAAAGAGATTGTGATTGTTTGCTTGACACTTTCATACTATTAACTCTCATATTTTGCTTTAAAGATAATAGGGATGTATCAACAGTCTTATATTATTGTAACATGGATCCTTGTTACTCTTTATTTTAGGTTGTTCCCTTCCCCTTCCCCTGTAGGATTGTAGTCTTGAAAATTAAAAAATAAAGATAGATAGATAGATAGATAGATAGATAGATAGATAGATAGATAGATGATAGATAGATAGATAGATAGATACTTTTAGAGCTTCATAGTCTAAGAAGAGGAAGAGATTGGATTTATACCCTACCCTTCACTACGGAAAGGTGTCTCAGAGCGGTTTACAAACTCCTTTTCCTTCCTACAATAGACACCCTGTGAGGTAGGTGGGGCTGAGAGAGCTCTTGACAGAAACTGCACGGACTCTAATCTGGGAGAACCGGGTTTGATTCCCCACTCCTCCACTTGCACCTGGCTGGATGACCTTGGGCAAGCCATAGTTCTGATAAAAGCTGTCCTTGAAAAAGAGCAGTTTTTGTCAGAGCTCTCTCAGCCTCACCTACCTCGCAGGGTGTCTGTTGTGAGGAGGGGAAGGGAAAGGGGTTTGTAAGCCGCTCTGAGACTCCTTTCCGTAGTGAAGGGCGGGGTATAAATCCAATCTCCTCCTCCTCCACCTTCCAAAGCAGCCATTTTCTCCAGGTGAACTGATCTTTGTCACCTGGAGAACAGTTGTAAATAGTGTTCCCTCTAAGCTAGTGTGAGCTAGCTCACAGTTTTTTAGCCTCCAGCTCACACATTTTTGTCTTAGCTCAGAAAGGATGGCTCCAGAGCAAACTAATTTATGGAGTAGCCAAATCGCTCACTCACAACTTTAATGCCAGTAGCTCACAAAGTAGATTTTTTGCTCACAAGACTCCACAGCTTAGAGGGACCATTGGTTGTAACCCCAGGACGTCTCCAGCCACCACCTGGCGGCTGAAGCCAAAAATGAGAGATCACAGGAGGAAGTGGAAATCCAAACACAACATCCGTGACAAAAATAACAAGGAGTCAATAAAGATACGTTTGCAAAATCATTTACTGCAGTAATTCTGTAGAAAATTCTCTTCTATTATTGCATGTGAGCAATAATGATTTTGCAAACATATCTTTATTGACTCTTTGTTATTTTTGTCACAGATGTTGTGTTTGGATTTTCACCACCCGGCGACTGCCTGATAGAACTGGAGAGATATGTTCTCCTAGGTAAGTTTCTTATATTTGCTGCAAGGGTTCCGATGGGACCCTAGAAAAATGCTGCTAATTTAAGAGTCTTGTACTCACAAAGAGGATGTATTGTGCCTTATGTCTTGTATGTATATCTCTGTCCTTGAAAAAGATTATTTGATGCGGGTAAATTTCCAGTCCCTTGGGGGTCATTGTTTGTGAAATTGACAAGGTGTTGTTCGAAAGTCTGAACATATTGTCAACCTGCACTTTTGATGTATTGTTGTGGTGAATCTATATTTTGAAATATTTGACACCAATATTTATAAAGTAGCATAGAAATTTTTTAAAAAATAAAAATAAAAAGCACAAAATGGATTTACTTTAAGTATACATTTTTTACATACAGTGTTATATATTTTTCCATATCTTCCTAACACTGTGACCCTCGGTTTTTGTACTGTCTACCTCCTGGAGGTTGACGATCCTAACTGGAGATCTGATTGGCTGTGATTTTTTTTTTAAAAAAATTGCTTCAGTAGTAGCTGCAACCACAGCACAAAGATGTTAATTAAAATTTATTTATTTATTTATTTAATTAAACATTTATACGCCGCCCTCCCCGCAAGCGGGCTCAGGGCGGCTTACAAGGGGCATATGCCCATACATAAAACCAGATAAAACAATAAAATCATGGATAGTAACAACAATAACAATAATAAAGTGCTTTTTCTGTAAACAGATGGTCTTAAGTGGTTTGATGGCATCTACATATCCTCCCCAATGGGGTGACACTGTCCAGCAGAAGGTTAAAGCCAGTCCCGCATTATCGATGCCACGTGGTGTGTGGCGGAACTTCCAGGGCGATTCCTAGTCCCGATGGTATTGCCACCGTTGGTGGTGGTGGCAGTGGCGGCCCCTATGCAAAAGCCTGGCGGAAGAGCTCCGTCTTGCAGGCCCTGCAGAATGGCATAAGGTCCCGCAGGGCCCTGATCTCCTCCGGGAGCTCGTTCCACCAGGTTCTCCACTGAGAACCAATGTTGCTTTCCAAAGGCATCTTGTCAAACAGAGCCTCTGCCTGAAATGCTGAAGAGTTACTCTTAAAGCTATGCATGACCTCACTCCCTGACATTTTGTGGCTGTGGCAGTCATTTGGTGGTTGTCTCGGCCTTCTCTGGCAGCCATTTTGCAGTCACACCCACCACCCTGTGTCAGAATTCCGAAGGTGCCCACGCGCTCAAAGAAGTTGGGCACCACTGTCTAGCGGGCTGACTATCGTCAGTTTCTCTCTCGCCTTTAGGTTCCTTCTTCAACCAGTGTGTCACTTTAGACGCCACCACGGTCAAGTTGGAGATCTGGGACACGGCCGGCCAAGAGAAGTACCACAGCGTCTGCCATCTCTATTACCGAGGAGCAAACGCAGCTCTTCTGGTCTACGACATCACCAGGAAGGTAAGGCGAAATGATGTGCTGCTTCCCAACTGAACCTTCACTTGTCCTTCCTCTTCCTCTGTCTCTGTACCTGAATGCGTCATTCGTAGGGCCTGCAGATCTCCCAGATGACAGAGATCAGTTCCCCTGGAGAAAATGGAAGCTTCAGAAGGCAAACTCTATGGCATTAAATATCAATGAGGTTCCTTCTCCTCTCCAAACCCCGCCCTCCTCAGGCTCCACACCCTAAATCTCCAGGTCTTTCCCAACCCGAAGCTGATAACCCTAGATTTGGTGTATATCTCACCTGGAAGAGCATTCCACCAGTTTGGGGCCAGGGTCGAAAAGGCACATCAGGGACGTCGGGGGGGGGGGAGATGCTCTGTTTTCTGGGCACAACTCTATGGTAAAATTATCTTTTACCATAGAGCTTTTGCCCCCAAACCAAAGCATCATCCCCGAGTGCCAACATCACTTCCAGGACTTGTACGCACATTGCTTTAATTTCTGGCGTTCCTCCCTTTGGGGGGGGGTTAATTTCCCCTGCTGGCCAGCTGGCTGGCGGCAGAGAGGTGGGGCCTGGCAGTGGAAGACCCCTGCCCCCACCAGGGGGGGTCTGACATTCCTAGCCCAGCAGCATACAGTTACACAACAGGATATGTTTGCCAACCTCCAGATGGTGGCTGGAGATGCCCTGGAATTCTAACTGATCTCTGGGCTACAGGGATCGGTTCCCCTGGAGGAAATGGTTGTTTTGGAAGGTGGACTCTATAAGAAGAAGAGTTGGATTTTATATCCCACTTTCCCCTACCCAAAGGAGTCTCAAAGCGGCTTACAATCTCCTTCCCTTCCTCTCCCCACAACGGACACCCTGTGGGGTAGGTGGGACTGAGAGAGTTCTGAGCGAACGGTGACTGGCCCAAGGCCACCCAGTCGGCTGCATGTGGAAAAGTAGGGAATCAAACCCAGTTCTCCAGATTGGAGTCCGCTGCTCTTAACCACCACACCATGATACTCTGCAGAGGTCTCTCGGCTCCTCAGACGCCACCCTCCCCAGTCTCCATCCTCCAGATCTCCAGGTACTTCCCAACCTGGTCCTGGTAACTGTATTTGGTAGTCAGGATATTTAGTTCCAGGCAGGCCTTTTTTAGTAGAAAAAGCCCAGTAGGAACTCATTAGCATAATAGGCCACACCCAACAGCAGAAACCCATTAGCATATTAGGCCACACCCCTGACAACACAGCTCATGAACATATTAGGCCACACCCCCATGTTACCAGAAGTTAGGTCATCCAGCCACAGCCACCTTTTTCCTCTTATTCTGTTCACCTTGTTTGTTGTCAAAACCCAGGGCTTTTTTTTGTAGCAAGAACCACTTTGCATGTTAGGCCATACACCCCTAATGTAGCCAATCCTCATGAGTTTCTGCTGTTGGGTGTGGCCTATTATGCTAATGAGTTCCTGCTGGGCGTGGCCAACTCAGGAGCCAGCCGGAACTCCGTTCCTGTGCATTCCTGCCCCAAAATAGCCCTGGTTCCAGGATGCATCCCCTTGCAATCACCCCGTGTTCAACTTCGGTTGCCATGTGGTTCCCCACTCACTCAATGTAGCTTGATTTTTTAACCATCCTGAATAATGCGGCATCGACCACGAACTTGTCCACTGTGCCACACACCAATCATCTGAAAATTAGAAGCGTGTGGTAACGTAACTATTTTAACCATTTACATTTCTTTTTTTGCTTGCCAGGAAAGTTTCGAGAAAGCAAAGGTGTGGCTGAGTGAACTGGAGAAGGAATTCCTTCAGAATGAAATAGTTATCATCTTGGTTGGCAATAAGCTAGATCTTTCAGAAGAACGGGAAGTCACCATAGAGGCAGGTAGCTCTTGTTGTGGTCTGGAATGCTATGGGGGGAAGGGGTTCCAACCTCCAGGTAGAAGCTGGGGATCTCCCAGTATTGCAACCAATGCTCCCTCCAGTGCCGGATTTACGCATAAACTAAATAAGCTACAGCTTAGGGCCTCGCAATCTGCTGGGGCCTCGAATAAAAACACAATATAAAAAATGATTTCAAATATTAAAAAGGCGTTTATATTTTAAATTTTTCTGAGACCAGCTGATGTAATTTAAAACAGTAGGGGGCCTCTGGGTTTTGTATAGCTTAGGGCCTCAGCAAGTCTAAATCCGGCCCTGGCTCCCTCTAAGCTGTGGAGTCTTGCGAGCTGAAATTCTACACTTTGTGAGCTAACACCATTAAAGTTGTGACCGAGCGATTTGGCTCCTGCATAAATTAGCTTGCTCTGGAGCCATCCTTCCTGAGCTCAGACAAAAAATTGTGTGAGCCGGAGGTTAAAAAACTGAGCTAGCTCACACTAGCTTAGAGGGAACACTGATTGCAACTGATCTCCAGGCGAAAGAGATCAGTTCACCTGGAGAAAATGGCTGCTTTGGAAGGTGAAGCCAGTTTGGTATAGTGGTTAACAGCGGTGTAGTGGTTTTGGAAGCAGAGGACTTTTTTGCTGACTGGAAAGATCTGAAAGACTATTTGGAAAAGAACTGGGATGTAAGGTTTATTTAGCTTTGACAATTATTGAAGGCAATAGATAATAAAAATAGAGTAGGATGTATTACTCAAATAGAGAAAGATAAGTTACCTATAGATATGTGTAATCAAAAAGAAAAAGAGTTAAGGAAGAAGAACTAAGAAGTGGGCAGGAGGTTGGAGCACTGTGGGAAGCCGCATGGGGGGGAAGGGTGGGGGGTATGATGTATTAGCATAAAAGTTGTGATTTATATTTGACTATGTTTATTATATCCTAATAAAAATGGTTTTAAAAAAGAGCAGTGTAGTGGTTAAGAGCGGCAGGACTTTAATCTGGGGGACTGGGTTTGATTCCCCACTCCTGCACATGCAGCCAGCTGGGTGACCTTGGGTCAGTCACAGTTCTCTCAGAGCTCTCTCAGCCCCACCCACCTCACAGGGTGCCTGTTGTGGGGAGAAGAAGGGAAGGAGATTGTAAGCTGCTCTGAGACTCCTTCAGGTAGTGAAGGGTGGGGGATCAAGTTGTTGTTGTTCTTCTGCTGCTGCTGCTGCTAACCAACGTTGTTTGGCAGAGCAATCACAAAGGAATGCAAAGGAAACAAACAAAACCAGAGTTTGCAGCACATAACATATGCTCCGTTTGTATGGCTTTTGCAGTCACAGGGCAGCCCAACCAAGGACGTGGGAATCTTCTAGTTTTTTGCTGCATGCAGAAATGGGTAGCAGGGGGTCCATATGTCTGGCAGGCCACAGTAAATAGCTGACGGCTGATGTGGGGCATCAATGCAGCTAGACGGCTAAAATAATTACATCTTTGTGCTCTCCCTCCAGGAGGCAAAAGAATTCGCAAAAACAAACTGCATATTATACACGGAAACCTCAGCAAAGTCTGATTACCAAGTGACAGAGCTCTTCGTGACACTAGGTGAGTTTTGCTCTCTCGTGCAGCCGGTTTGGTGTAGTGGTTAGGAGCGTGGACTATAATCTGGGAGAACCGGGTTTGATTCCTCACTCCTCCACATGCAGCTATTGGTATGACCTTTGGTCAGTTACAATTCTCTCAGAGCTGTTCTGGAAAGAGCAGTCCTCGAGAGAGCTCTCTCAGCCCCACCTACCTCACAGGGTGTCTGTTGTGGGGAGGGGAAGAGAAAGGAGATTGTAAGCCGCTCTGAGACCCCTTCAGGCACTGAAGGGCAGGGTATAAATCCAATCTCCTCCTCCCTGTTTGTGATTTTGCCACCATGCCACTGCTTGGCCATCCTATCTGTTTTTCCCAGCTTTGCAAGAGGTGGGTGGGGGTGGGACTGAGCACCTGGTAAGGATGCCAGCCTCCAGGCGGGACCTGGAGATCTCCCAGAATCACAGCTCAAATCTAGACTACAGCAATCATTTCCCCTGGAGAAAACGGATGCTTGGGAGGGTGGACATTGGCATTGCACCCCACTGAGGTCCCTGTCCTCCCCAGGCTCCACCCCTGCTTTTAATTTGTCTGACCCAAGAGTATTCATAGTATATCACAGAAAGGTAAGATTTCGCCCTGTTTTTCTTTTTTCTTTCCTCCCAAAGCTCATGAGCTGTTAGAACTGGAGCAGCAGAAAGAGAAGCTGCGTCACACGACACATTGGAAAAAATCACGGGTGGATTTGCAAGAGACGGCTTCCCGCCGAATGAAATGCTGCCAGAAATAAAGCCCCGCTGTCCAAACAAGGCCGGGGTGGCTGTGATTTTTCATGCATTCCTCGATGACTGAAGAGATCCCAAGATGCTGATGGGAGCGTGTTGGCAATAACTTGGAAATTGTCGGTCACAACGTGATCACTTTTCGTATCTGATTGTCCTGAACCAGGGGTTCCCAACCTTTTTGAAGCTGTGGGATTCTGATGCGGGGTGGTGGGTGTGACCCCAAAATGGCTGCCGCAGGAGGAAGCCCAAAGGCAGGGGGGAAGAGGGGTAATTTAAGAACTACACTGGGATAGAGGAGTGGGAGAGAATAAAACCAACATTGTGGTGGCTGCCTCTGCCCCAAACAACATTATTTAAATCTGTGTAGCCCATTGGATCGCCAGCGGCCAATTAGGAGCCCTGCTGGGTAAGAGCCCCACCTGGCCCCATCCACATTGTAAGAACACTTGGGTGGGCACCAAGAAAGGAGTCAGTGGGCCCCATGGATTATTGGGAGACTATGAAACGAAAACGTTAGCGGTGTGATGTCATTTCTTTGAAAAGTTCTTTTCCTAGGATCATTTTGCCCATTTCAGTAAAATGAATGAAATATCAACTAGGGTTTGTAGTGCACATACGAAGGTCCAGGAAGCCCACAAAGGTAACTTGCTAGTGGTCCCGGTCCCTAAAGACATCTGGCTGTCCTGGACCAGGGCCAGAGCCTTTTCGGTCCTGGCCCCAACCTCGTGGAATTCTCTCTGAAATACTACCCGGGCCCTGTGAGATCTTATGGAATTCCTCAGGGCCCGTAAGGGTTTTGCTTGAGGGCAGCGACGGTTTCCATCTTGGCTGGCACCCTTTTTCATTCCTTCCGCTGTGTATGTTTGCATGCCCCCTTCCCCCCTGCCCACGGAGTAGCTGGCAGTCTGAAATTGGATTGATCAGTATTCATCACTGGATCTTTTTCTGAAATGAGTTATTCATGTTTTTAAATTGTTTTTATCTTGTCGTGTTTTGATGGATATTGTACATCGCCCAGAGCCCTGCAATAGCAGGGCGATGAATACATTCAATGTATGTATGTATGTATAAATAAATGAATGGATAATACACCCACAGACTGTGGACTGCCAGGTGCTGTGTGTATATGCATTGGTGCACACGTACACACCCACGGGAAGCTGCCTTAAACTGACTCAGACCCTTGGTCCACCAAAGTCAGTATTGTCTGTTTAAACCGGCAGCGGCTCTCCAGGGAGAGGTTTCTCAAATCACCTACTGCCTGGTCCTTTGAACCGGAGATGCCGGGGATTGAACCTGGGATCTTCTGCATGCCAAGCAGATGTTCTACGCATGAGCCATGGCTCCTCCCAAGAGAAGAGTAAAGGCAGTTTGCCATTGCCTTCCTCCACATAGAAGAAGAAGAGAAGAGATTGGATTTATACCCCGCCCTTCACTACCCAAAGAGGTCGTGGCTTACAAACTCCTTTCCCTTCCCCGCCCCACAACAGACACCCTGTGAGGTAGGCGGGGCTGAGAGAGCTCTGACAGAAACTGCTCTTTTTCAAGGACAGCTCTTATCAGAACTATGGTTTGCCCAAGGTCATGCAGCAGGTGCAAGTGGAGGAGTGGGGAATCAAACCCGGTTCTCCCAGATTAGAGTCCGCGCCCTTAACCACTACACCAAACTGGGTCTCTGGTCTTTCTTGGTGGTCTCTCATCCAAGTACTAATCTTGACCAACCCTGCTTTGCTTCTAAGTTCTCATGATCCTGGGCAAAGCCGGGCTATTCAGGCTGCTCTTCTCTGGTCCTGTCACACATCGCTGCAATTCCAGGCAGTCAACAAAGCCGGGACAAATTCCAGGCACTTTATCAAGCACCCGGCAGGCCGCTATATATTATCAGAGACCGTCCCCTTCTTTTGGTACCTGTCCCAGGTAAACCCTGTCCCTGTTTTTCTCTTGGTGGCGGAAGCTGTCTGAGGATGCCCGCTTAAAAAGGTTACCTTCACCTTCCGCTCCAATAGAACAGTTTAGCTGGAAGGTCGGTTTCACTGGGATGCCTTTGAGTTGCTGTCCTAGGATTGCCATAACAATGGCGTGTCCATGGAACGATTAAGCATGTCCTTTTCAACACCCCAACCTTTTATAGTCAGTTTCTGAACAGGCTCTGCCTCTGAAGCCAATGAAAGACCACCCCCACCCCATTTCACGGAAGATCCATCAGCAATAAGTGGTGGAGGCGGATTGTGCCGCCAAGTGACCCCGTAGAGATTCAGTTTGGTGTAGTGGTTAAGTGCGCGGACACTAATCTGGGAGAACCGGGTTTGATTCCCCACTCCTCCACTTGCACCTGGCTGGATGACCTTGGGCAAGCCATAGTTCTGGCACAGCTCTCCTTGAAAAAGAGCAGTTTCTGTCAGAGCTCTCTCAGCCCCACCTACCCCACAGGGTGTCTGTTGTGGGGAGGGAAAGGGAAAGGAGTTTGTAAGCCGCTCTGAGACACCTTTGGGTAGTGAAGGGCGGGGTATAAATTCAATCTGCTCCTCCTCCTCCTCTTCTTCTTCTTCTTCTTGGCAAGAGATGAACAAAGGTGGTTTGCCATTGCCTGCCTCTGCATGCCAACCCTGAACTCCCTTGGTGGTCTCCCATCCAAGTACTAACAGGGGGCCGACTCAGCTCAGCTTCTGAGTTCTGATGAGATCGGGCCAGTTTGGGCCACCCAGCTCCGGGTTCAGCAATAAGGACACACAGAGCATCCTTTCCTTCTTGCTATCTGATGCTGTCCTTTGAAGCAGAATGCTATTTTTAGGGATGAGACTTACTCTCTTGCTCCATGAAAAATAACTGGTGACATTGTAAGTCGCCGTGAGTCACTGTGGATAGTGAGAAGAGGTAGGTAGAAATTTTTAGAGACAGATAGAGAGGTCAAGGCACACAGAGCATCCTTTCCTTCCTGCTACCTGATACTAACTATCCTTTGAAGTAGAAGGCTTGTTCTTAGGGACGAGACATCCTTCCTTCCGACTTGACACTCTTCTCTCTTGCACACACAAAGAAAGAGCACACACTCTCCATCTTTGTCACCATGGATGCAGGGCAGGCATTCTCCATCCTCATCCACCTAGTTAGTTAGATTAGGTTCTTACCCTATCTTTCCACCCGCACTATCTGGAATGTAGTTCCTTGAATAAAGGATTCTTATTAGTTTGAAACTGACAAGTGGCTCCGTGTAACTCTGTAAGTCTGCTAGTAGTACACATAGTACTCAGAAGCTACTGCTGCGTGTAGCCTCATACCCTCTGCTATGTATAGAGATTCCTGGCTGCCCCACACCAGTGAATCTAAGAGAGGCAGCCTTTGACTGCTAGTTTTAGGTGGTCATCGTGTCTCCTGTCTCTGACAAAGGGAGATTTGACTTATGAAATCTAGTCAGTCTCTAAGGTGTTCTTGGACTCCAATCTAGCTGCTCTACTGTAAACCAACACGGGTACCCTCTGAAGTGATCAGCACGTCTCCTGGGGCACCTTACACCAATAAGATGTGCCACAGAACAGTTTTACATGACTTCCGTCGCACCTCCACCTAGGCTCAGCTGCTGGGTAGGAAGAACAGCTGCTGGGTAGGAAGAACAGATTTTGAGATCCTGCGATGTGGTCTAGTGGGGAAGGCTCAGTTCTAGGGCCCAACGAGACTTTATGGAAGTGTGCATTCATGATCCTTCTAAGGCAGATTGGGAGGGCCTCTCTGCAGGCGGTAAACCAACAGGGGGAGATGCCAGGAGGGCTCTCCTACAGTGTAGTAGCATCCAGGCGTCATTTCATAGAAAAAGAGGTGCAGGAGCTCATTAGCATAACTCGTCAGCATAACTTATTTGCATATGCCACGCCCCCTGACATCACCGGAAGTGTGTCAGAAGGCAACACCCATCGCTCAGGCTCCACTGGACTGTTTTGGATTGCTATCTATTGGGGGTGGGGGACGTGCAATTCTGTCCCTCACAGAGGAGGGAGAGCTTGTACTTGAATAAAACTGGGTCTTAAAGGTGCCACTGGACTGTTTTGGACTGGGGAGCGGGGGGGGGGCTCTGCAACTTATCTGGCTGCTTCTTGCTCTGACTTAGGGCTGCTGGGAGCAGGGGGTGGGGCTTGTTGCATGTGCCCGCCCCCTGGGCTCTTTACTGCCGGAGCTCCGCTCCTGTGCGCTCCTGCAGGAAATGACCCCTGCTCTGCTCCTAGGAGCTTGGTAGCGAGAGGGCTCTGCTTAGGCCTGGCAGAGGCCTCCCTACCGTCCTTCTAGAGTTCCTTCCCTTGTTCCATTCTGTGGGGAGGGAGGGAGGCACGCTGGCATTGATGTGTGTTGGTTGGCTTTTCCCATTTATGGCTGACACAGGTGCGTCGTGGGCCAGCCGCTCTGTGATTGGTGGGTGTGGGTGGTGTTGCTAGGTTCCCTGGAATGGCTGCTGTGCATCACAGGCTGGGTCGTTACTCTGGCACTGTGTGGCCACCCCTGGCTTAGGGTCCCTGGATTGCTCGGCCCAACAGTTCACAGCTAAGAACAGCAAATGGTTGCCGGCAGGGGTCGTTTCGTAGAAAAAGAGCTAGGGGAACTCATTAGCATAACTCATTAGCATATGCCACACACCCTGACATCAGGGGCCCGGCGGTGGACCTGCAAGGCCGGCGGGAGTGCGAGGAAGCCCCGCCAAGGCCTTCCCTGGCCCCAGGCAGGCAGGGGTGGGGAGAGGCGGGGAGGAAGCAACTTACCCTCCCTCTTCTCCTGCCTCCTCCTGGCTGAATGAGGGCTGGAAGCAGGGGGCGGGGCTTTGTCATGTGCCCTGCCCCCGTACCTCACCCGGGGGAACTGCGATCCCCGCGACCCCCCCCCCAAAAAATGACCTCCCGGGTCCTTTCTGGGATCTTCTGCCACCCGTGCTTTGCACATGCGGCGTGATGACATCACCTGGAAGTGACATCATCATGTTGCCAATGTTGGTGTGTGTGTGTGTGACACAATGACATCACTTCCGGGTGACGTCATCGAATGGGGACGTTGCGCAACGGCGTCCCTGTTTGGGGTGGGTGGGGTTTCCCTGGCCACCCAGCTGGCCAGCGGTGGATCAAAGCCCTCAAAAGTGGGGGAACCCCCAATGGGACCTGGGGGCCGGGAACCCTAGAACAGCATCCTGCCCTGCAAGAGTTTGACAAATAGATTTTCGACAGTCAAAGCAAAACATAACTGTGAGGAGACGGATGATCTACTGGAATCCTTCTTCCAGGTATTGCCAAGGCCATGGCTTTAGCCATAAAAGTGAGTCCGCTGTAAGGCCTAATGTCTTTATTCGCCCTCAGGGGAAAATTAAAAGTGTGTTTGGGTGTGGGTGTGTGTGTGTGTGGGTGGGTGTTATTTCTTGTCATGACTGCCAATGATTCCCTTGGGTAGCGTCATTCATCTTGTGCAGATTCACTGCTCTCCACTATAGGGAAGCAAGCTTGCGGGTGCCCGAATCTCAGCTTCTGGACGCTCTCTGCGGCTGCCCTCCGCCTGCCGAACCGTCCCACCGGCCGGATCCCTCGCCCCGTGTACCAGGAAGGATCGATATCAGGATCTAGAAGAAGAAGAAGAAGAGATTGGATTTATACCCCGCCCTTCACTTGTAGTCTCAGAGCGGCTTACAAGCTCCTTTCCCTTCCCCTCCCCACAACAGACACCCTGTGAGGTGGGTGGGGCTGAGAGAACTCTGACAGAAACTGTTCTTTTTCAAGGACAGCTCTTATCAGAACCATGGCTTGCCCAAGGTCATCCAGCCAGGTGCAGGTGGAGGAGTGGGGGAATCAAACCCAGTTCTCCCAGATTAGAGTCCGCGCACTTAACCATGACACCAAACTGGCAAAACGCCAGAGATAAGGAGAACCCAGGGGAAAGACGATGCTTCTTCCTCCCTCCGCTGACACTTTCCTACAGCACACCCAGAGCCCAGGCTAAAGCCCTGATGCGCTCGTTGGACATTTTTGCACATATTCGGGAAACGCATGCAAAATATTTTCAGAAGAGATGCTGTTGAGCTGGGGGCCTTTCCTGTACCGCAGAACACTGTGGTCATTGGTGTTGCATCATTAGTCACCCTCTGGACTCATCAGGTTGGAAAAAAAAGGATAAAAGGCCTTGACTATATAAAATAAATATAATGTGGAATGGAGCTTAATGCACATCTACAGATGCACACTCTCTGGCTGCCAATCCAGGGAAGCTTGGGGGGGGGGGCAGAGACTAGGAAAGGGGAGCTTCGTGGATGCTGTGTCAACACTCCCAGGTGATCGCCCAGAAGTGATGTCATGCACACACATACACACACACACCTCAGTGCTCTAGGAAATTCCTAGAGTGTCACAGGAGGCTGTGACGTCATCCCCCCCATTTCTCCCACTGTCCAGTCGCTGGAGTGTGGGTGATTAAAAGGTAGGGGCGGGAGTTTGCCTGCTGCAGGAAGGCAAATGGTAACCCTGTGCACACCTGATCGGTCTAATATTATGGCTTTCCAGCCAGTTTTGGATAGTGAGAGGCAGGGCTTTTTTTGTAGAAAAAGCCCAGCAGGAACTCAGTAGCATAATAGGCCACACCCCGATAGCACTGCTCATTAACATATTAGGCCACACCCCATGCCTTCCCTTGGCTTGCCCGGGCGCCCTGCGGCTGCCGGGGAAGGCTCAGGGAGGTATTTAAATGCCTCCCTGATCCTTCCAGGGCTCCCCCCCCCCTGGCCTGCCCACCTCGAAGTCGCCATGGGTGTCGCTCTCCAGGCCTTCCCTCTGTAGTCACACATGCAGAGGTTTTGGCTGTAGTGGGTGTGGCCAACTCTGAAGCCAGCCGGAACGCCGTTCCTGTGCGTTCCTGCCCAAAAATAGCCCTGGTGAGAGGGTTCCCGAGCCTGCTCATTGGACAAAGGGTCCAATAACAAAGGGTCCAATGACAAAGGGTCATGTAGACAAGCCTCCATCTTGGCCCATGCAGTATTCATGCTAGGATTCTTGGCCTGCCCCTGTGAGACCTGCAGTAATGCTGCTCAGGCCCATAGCTACAGTGGGGCATTTGGGGGCCCTGCCCCCTTAATTAAAAGCCCCACCCTGCAACTAGGCATTCTAGAAACCTTATTTGGGGGGTATTTTTGTGTGTATAGAAACCTTATTTTTGAGGAGAGATCCCCTGCAAGCAACAGCCCCGTGGCTTTGCCCTTGGACTTCTCTCTTCCTCCCACTGTGGAATTCTTGGGGGGCCATCATGGGACCTGGGAAAAGATTGCTCAGAAAAATGCCTTCTGAATTCCCTTCCACAGGGCAAGAAAGCTTAGAAGGGAACTCAGACGTACATCTCCAACAATCCCCCTGTTCTGCTAGGCCAGTCCTGCTGTAGACCACCTGGGTCATGGTGAGTCTTTCAAAAGCATTTCCCATGAGCCTTTGGGAAAAAGCAGCAGGCAGTGGGGTGTGTCTCTCCTCAAAAATAAGGTTTCTGGCACGGCTATTTGTGGGCCCGAGCTTTTAATTAAGGGGGCAGGGGCTTCAGACAAATTGGGCCCCCCCCCCCCCCGAATAATGCCTGTTCGGCATTAATCGGCCCGCTGAAAGCCAAATCAGATTCTCTAATATGATTCGTCTGGCCAAACAGGGATTCCCCGAATGGATGCCGTATATTTGGCATCCATTTGGGGAATCCCTTTGCTGGGTGAGGGGAAGGCAGGGGTAGGCATTTAAATGCCTACCCACTCCTTCAAGGGCCTCCCCCGGCTCGCCTGCCTTGGCAGGCAAGCCAGGGAAGGCGGGGGGGGGGATCTGCAGGCCTTGCCCAACTCATCAGCTTCATCAGGCAGACTGGAGAAGGTATGGGGAGGCATTTAAATGCCTTCCCGCACCCTCCTGGGCCTTTCCTGGCTCACCTGCCTTGGCAGGCGGGCCAGAGAAGTGGGGGGGCTCACTCTAGGCCTTCCCTGGCTCTCCAGCTTCGGTGGGTGGGCCAGGGAGGGCAGGGGGGCTAGCTCGGGGGCAGCAGGCTTCCTTCACTGAAGGGAAGGCAAATTGCAAATTTGTGCCCTTTTCATTATACCAACAAATTGCCTTCCCTTCAATGAAGGGAGCGTGCTGCCTCTGCGGCATGACTGGGGGGGGGGGGGTTTAAACTTAAAACTTGAGTCGCGCCGCTGAGGCGACATGCTCCCTTTGTTGAAGGGAAGGCAATTTGCCTTCCCTTCAGTGATAGGAAACCCCCCTTCAAGGAGGGGTTTATTATACCCTATGGGGACAGTCGATTGAGCCGAATGTGAGTCGGCTGGCCGAATGCCACCGCAATCGGCTTGCGTTGCCGAAAGTGGCATTCGGGGGTCATTTGTGTGGCCGAATCACATTCGGCCCAATTCAGCCAAATCCGAATGAGCCGAATTTATTTATGTATGTATTTTGCACATCTCTACTAGAAACAGGCTTGGATCCTCCCCCTTTAAAGACAGGCATTCAGATTAATTTAATTAACTGTAATTTAACTGCCCCCCCCCCGAACAAAAAAATCCTGGCTGTGGGCCTCTTTTTTCTTCCCCTTGTCACCCTTGAATCACTGGAACTCTTTGAAAGACTGTCACTTAGAGAAGGGCAGGGAGCTGTTCCTGTTGGCAGCAGAGGATAGGACACGCAAGAATGGGTTGAAATTACAGGCAGAAAGGTACTGGCTGGATATTAGGATAATATTTTTTACAGTACGAGTAGTTCAGCAGTGGAATCAGTTGCCAAGGGAGGTAGTGAGCTCCCCCTCACTGGCAGTCTTTAAGCAGCGGCAGGATGAACTCTTGTCAGAGATACTTTAGGCTGATCCTGAACTGAGCAGGGGGTTGGACAAGATGGCCTGTACAGCCCCCTCCAACTCTATGAATTTGTGTTTCTGTGGCAGAAACATGCTCTTATGCATAGCTCGAAAAGGCATAGACGCTTTCTTCGCATTGTATCTGAGGAAGCGAGCTCTGACTCATGAGAGCTCCTACTGGAATATTGTTAGTCCTTATGGTACCCCAGGACTTCTGTTTGGTTTTGCTGTAACAGGTAGGGTTGCCAGGTCTTACGTGCATCCCAGCAGGGGGCTCTAGCCCAGCTCCTGAGGTCTTCTGGCATGTGTGCAACACAAGCACGCTGTGATAATGTCACCCAGAAGTGATGTCATCGCACCGGGCACATCTTTCAGGAGACGCTCTAGCATTTGGGTTAAAAAAACCCCTCTATGGTCACCATAGAGTTTTTACCCAAATGCTAGAGCGACCCCCGCATGATGTGCCTGGCGCAATAAAGTCATCTCAGGGTGACGTCATCATGCCAGGCATGTCAGGCACAATGGGGCTCTTTGGGGGTGGGGCTCCCCCCATCAGCTAGTTGGCCGCAGCGGATTAGGGCCCCCAAAAGCGGGGAAAACCCCGCCTCCATCAGGGGGATGGCAACCTTAGTAGGCTCTAAAACAATCTCTGGCCATGAACGACAGGCTCACACTCATTTCCCAAACCTACTTCTGATTTCCATGGACCGCGCAACGATTCTGCTTCCGGCATTGGGCAGGGCCAGGCACAGCAGCAGCAAGCACACGAGGCAGGCGGCAGGCACTTTCATTCCTTCCAGATTGGCACCGGGTTCCTCCAACTTGTCCCCGAAAGTGTGTGCTCGGCCTGCAGTCACAGGGGAGAAACAGTCTCGTGTGAGGAAGAGGGACTCCGCCAAAGAGCTGTCCTTGAATGGCAGAGCCCCCGGACAAAAGAGTACCAGGATTTAGAATGGGATTACTTCGGTTGCCAGCGCTGGGTCGGGAAACGTGTGGAGATCTTGGGGGTGGAGCTTGAGGAGGGCGGGGTTTGGGGAGGGGAGGGACCTCAGCAGGGTACAATAGGGCTGCCAGGCCTGACTAAGGAAATATCTGGGACACTGAGGGTGGAGTCAGGAGCAGGTATGTGACATCATTTTTGTGATGTCACATCCTGCGGTTTCACTTCCAGTTCCACCCCCCCACATCCAGAAGGGTCCTGTGATTTCACAGTAGGAGCTTGTGCTTCTAACACAGGGGTTGCTCTCCACTCATTCTCCAGCCAAGCCGCGCACACTGGTACCATTTAGGGTTGCCGGGTGAGGCTGACAGGCTGGTGGGGGGCTTTCCAGGAGCCTCCGGGAGAAGGGAAGGAAGAGGTACAATTGAACTCCAAAGGGAGTTCTGGCCATCGCATTTAAAGGGACTGCATTCCTTTTCGATGCCTTCCATCCATTGGAAATAATGGAGGCTGGGGGCACCTTTTTTGGGGCTCATAGAATTGGACCCCTGGGTTCAATCTTTTGAAACTTGGGGGTTGGTTTGAGTAGAGGCACCAGCAGCTATGCTGAAAATATGGTGCTTCTAACTCAAAAAAACAGGGGCCCCCAGAGCCCCAGATATGCATGGATTGATTCTCCGTTATACCCTATGGAGAAAGGAAGGAAGGAAGGAAGGAAGGAAGGAAGGAAGGAAGGAAGGAAGGAAGGAAGGAAGGGAGGGAGGGAGGGAGGGAGGGAGGGAG